AACCCAGAATGAGTATTTGTTGAGTGGCTGAGTTCAGAGAGTTTTGCCGTAGTTGTAGTCCCTACATTTCTCTTCCTGAGACACTGACAGTTGCCCAAGAATTTGTTCATGTGGGCCTGAGGTGCCTGGGCCAGAGGGCCTGTTCTCACAAGGCCCTAAGAAAGCCCAACACGATCATCCCTTTGGGACCTCCAAAAGGGAGCCCCAGACCTAGGAAAAAGTCTGGTGAAGTCCAGAGACTCCGTGTCTGCGTGCGTACCCCAGAAGCCGGTAAGAGGCACAGCTTATCTCACAACTGGAGGAGTCCAAGAGGACATTGGACCCACTGTACTTCCTCCCTGTGACGTAAACTCCATTTTCTTCAGTTCTCTCTCCCATCCAACAGGGAGAGCAATCCCCACCTTTTCCTCTGTTCAAGCGCAGTCCGAGGGTCCGAGGTTACCTGTGTGAAAATGCTGAGTCAACGCCAGAGAGCCGCATAGGAGGGACTCTATTAGGTCTGTTACTCCAATCAAGTGCAACAGGGTCAACAGGTGCATACGTCCCGGCATTTGCGGGACTTGTTAAGCACCTACTATGTGCTGAGAACTGTACGAGGCCCCTGGTAAGTGTAGGGGGCGGGGGGTGAACCAGATGCACACTTCCTCCCGGGGCTTTCCCAGCAAGGCTGTCTCTGATTCCCACAGTCCTGGACAGTGTTCTTCATGAACAGCTACTTCACCACTGTGCTGCTGCGGCTGCGGCTGCTGCTGCTGGTTGCTGTTCCTCCTCTTCTTTGGTTAGGGTAGGGTAGGGGAGAAGCTTAATTGTCTTACTTAAATTTTTTTTTTTTGACTGGCAGAGTGGACAGTGAGAGAGAGAGACAGAGAGAAAGGTCTTCCTTTGCCGTTGGTTCACCCTCCAATGGCCGCCGTGGCCGGTGCACTGCGGCCGGCGCACCGCACTGATCCGATGGCCGGAGCCAGGTACTTCTCCTGGTCTCCCATGGGGCGCAGGGCCCAAGCACTTGGGCCATCCTCCACTGCACTCCCTGGCCACAGCAGAGAGCTGGCCTGGAAGAGGGGCAACCGGGACAGAATCCGGCGCCCCGACCGGGACTAGAACCTGGAGTGCTGGTGCTGCAAGGCGGAGGATTAGCCTAGTGAGCCGCGGCACTAGTCACTTAAATTTTTTAAAAAAGATTTATTTCTTTTATTTGAACGAGTGAAAGGAGAAGAAGTAGGAGGAGCAGAAAGAGAAGGAGGAGGAGGAGGAGGAAGAGAGAGATATGTCACACCCCCTGCTTCACTCCCCAAATGACTGCAACAGTCAGGGCTGGGTCAGACTGGAGCCAGGAGCAGGCAGCTCCATCTGGGTTCCCACATGGGTGCTGGGGCCCAAGTACTTGGGCCATCTGCTGCTGCTTTCTCTGGTACATTAGCAGAAAGCTGGATCAGAAATGGAGCATCTGGGATTGAATTGGCACCTGGTAACGGGATGCTGGCATTGCAAGCAGCGGCTTAACCTGCTGTGTCACAATGCTGGCCCCTTAAATTGTTTGTTTGTTTATTTGCAAAACAGAGACAGAGACAAAGACAGAATCCCCATCCGCTGGTTCACTTCTCAAATGCCTGCGATGGCCATGACTGAGTGAGGCCTAAGTCAGGAGCCAGGATCTCAGTCCGCCCTGGATGCTATGGGGAAGCAGGAATTGAACCCAGGTACTCTGACGTGCAGTGTGGGTGTCCCAACCAGCATCTTATCAGCTGGGCCGAAAGTTCACTCCTCCTCTCCTTTATGATGTTTGATTTGCTTTGTTGTTCTGGATGTCTTCTAATAATTTTTTAAAATATTTACTTATTTATTTATTTATTTGAAAGTCGGAGTTACACAGAGAGAGGAGAGGCAGAGAGAGAGAGAGAGAGAGAGAGAGAGAGAGTCTTCCATCCGATGGTTCACTCCCCAATTGGCTGCAATGGCTGGAGCTGCGCTGATCCAAAGCAGGAGCCAGGAGCTTCTTCTGGGTCTCCTATGTGGTTGCAGGGGCCCAAGGACTTGGGCCATCTTCTGCTCTCCCAGCAGAGCTGAATCAGAAGTGCAGCAGCCGGGACTAGAACCAGAGCCCATGGGATGCTGGCGCTTCAGGCCAGGGCATTAACCTGCTGCACCACAGCACCGGCCCCAGTCTTCTAATAATTAATTGATGTGTGTCTCTGCCTTAGATCTTAGCTCTGTTAGGGAAGACCCATGTTGGTTTTGCTCACCATTCTGGCCCTGTGACTACCAGTATCTGACACACAAACGAAACTCAGAAGCAAGTGGCTGAGTGAAGGAATGGAGGGGTGGGTACATGAAGGAATGCTTTCCAAGCGCCCCGGATGTAAAACTCCAGGCAAAGCAACTTGAGGCACAGCTGTACGTGAGAGTGGTGATTCTGCAAACTGACATTGGACCGAGGGATTTGTATTGAAGTCCTCATTAGGTAGCAACTGAAAGTCAAAGTCAGCCCTTCCCTTTGAAGAAGATAGGACGGGGCTGGAACTGAACATTATCTTCGGGAGCAGCTAACTGTTGCATGCAAAGAAGGCAGAGGGAGGCTTCTGGGCCCAAATCAAGTGCATCAAAGACAACTGCGTTTCTCCTACAGATCCCAGATGCTCACACAACACCGCTGAGAGATTAGTGCTGGTCTTCCTGTGGCTCTCTGATGGGGCTATCCCCTTGTTATCAGGCCCAACCTGCTGCCTGGCCTTGGGGAAGCAGAGCCACAGCACTACCTCGCCCTGGCTTCTTTCCATTAAAGTTACCTCCAGAGCTTCCTGCGAAGGAAATGTCTCACCAGCCCCAGGGCATGGAAGGACTTGGCCTCCAGAACCATCTCCCGTTCAGTAGCCGCCCGCAGCTGTTTTGGAGCCCTGGGAGCAGGTTCACCTCCCTAATGAAGATGTGAAATACTACTTCTTAGCAGGATGAGCCTTCTGTTCTTTATGTCACCCTCCTGCTAGAGACGTCGATTAGCAGGAACACGTTCCAGTGAGGTGGGCGGCCTCAGGAAAGAACTCGCAGGCATTTCAGTGGAGACACCTCAGGAATTTGTCAGCTCTTGAGAACAGAGATCACGCTTCAGTTTCCTGATTCCGGAGCGCTGGGCAAGAACAAAATGATGGCCCTGGAGGATGGAGAGCCTTTAAGTCCATGGAAAGAAGAAAAGTCACCCAGCTAGAACTGTTTGAGAGGGACAGGGGCCACCTCGTTGGGGAGTGAGTCCCCCATCCTTGGAGGTGTTCAAGGCCACCTTGCGTGGGAATTGTGTATTTCACCGTACCACACGGGTCATGAGGGATGTTTCACAGGCTCGCTGCTCCTGAGGAGGGCCTGGACCCTGGGAGGAGGAGAGAATACTCTTAAACAGCACAAAAATTAAAAGCCGTCATTGACTCAGTATGTTGGTAGTTTTTTTTTTGTTTTTGTTTTTTGTTTGTTTTTTTTTTTTTTAAGATTTATTTTATTTATTTGAAAGGCAGAGTCACAGAGAGAGGTAGAGACAGAGAAGTCTTTCATTGGCTGGTTCACTCCCCAAATGGCTGCAATGGCCGGAGCTGAGCCCATCGGAAGCCGGGAGCTGGGAGCTTCCTCCGGGTCTCCCACGTGGGTGCAGGGGTCCAAGCACTTGGGCCATCCTCCACTGCTTTCCCAGGTGCATCAGCAAGAAGCTGGATCAGAAGTGGAGCAGCCGGGATTTGAACCCGCTGCACCACAGCGCAGGCCCCAGTACCTTAGTACTGAGCACCACACACAACGACCCTCAGAGACATGGAGACCAAGATGTGAGCGGGTTGTCCAAGGGTGCACAGGAGGTGCACAGCCAGGACCCCAAACGCAACCAACAGCCACAGTACCAGCCACTAGGCCGTGGCTCCCTCCTCACCCCTCCTCTCACTCTGCCTCCCCACGGCCTTCTTAAAGAAGAACCTTCTACCAGGATGGGCCCCGACACACAGCAGCAAGGAACTACTTGGGAAGCGACATCAGAGGAAATGACCCTGCTTGAACACGGTTTGCAAATCACCTTAGAGGGAAGCTTCTGGCAAAGTGAGGGCCAATTTTAAAACAGCCACATCCTCTGGGCCTCGCCCTCCTCCCCAGAGCTTCTTTGGGCTTCGCTCAGGCAAAACTCCCTTTGTCTTCATTTGCATTGTTCTGGGGTTGGGGAGAGGGAGCGGGTGTGACTCCCTTACCTCGCCCCGCTGGCCTGCCCAGCCGTGACTTCGCGGGAATTTGGCTGAAGTGAGGCTAATTAGTCCGCGTGGCCCCCAGAGAGTGTGGCTCACCAGACCCTTCGCAAGCAAATGAGAATGCCCCACCCTGTGACAGGAGACTCGCCAAAAAGAAAATAGAAAAATGACCATGCTCCTGCCCTGTTTGACCCTGAGCTCTGGGCGGGACCCGCGGGCCGCCATCATTAGTCAAAGTCCCTTGGCCCTGGGGATCCCGGGAGACTGAAACTGCTGCACTGTCTCCCGGCAGCGTCCGGAGAACCACCCGGGACTGACGCGGGGCTGGGTCATTTTCTCACGCCTTTCTCTGAGCTCCAGGAGAGCATTCATTGCAAGAACCAGAGACTCTTGAAAACCCCAGGTCACTGGTACCACCTAGAGGTCACTTTTTTTTTTTTTGTATTTTTGAAAATTTATTTTCCTTTTAAAGATTTATTAATTGATTGATTTGAAAAGTAGAATTAGAGAGAGAAGTAGAGACAGAGATCTTCCATCCACTGGGTCACTGCCCAGATGGCTGCAACTGGTTGTCTTCCACTGGTTTCCCAGGCCATAGCAGAGAGCTGGATCCGAAGTGGAGCAGCCGGGACTGGAATCGGTGCCCATATGGCAGGTTGAGGCTTAACCCACTGAGCCACAAAGCTGGGAGGAGGGGTACCCTCTCCCCCGCTTCCCCTCCACTCGCCTCCCTGTGTTCACTTCTTCTAACTCCTCCCCTTAAACCACCTTGGAAAGTGCCACCAGGTCTGTGGGTCTGTTCTGGACCACAGGCCTCCTACTCCGCCCCAAGTCAGCCCCTCTTCCCCAGGGTCCTGCGGGTGGCCCCAGCACTGTGGACTTTTAGTTAGTAGGAAGATGAACGCGCCTGTCATCTCAATGGAATTTCACAAGCAAAGAGAATAGCCATGGCGGTCCTTGGCCTCCTGGGGACCCAGGGCTGCGTGGCCCCAGGGCTGGCAGCGGGCAGGGAGGATGACTTTGCAGCCTGGGGACTGTTCGTCATTAGAACAACAAGGCCGGCAGCAGCGTGGCTCTGCCTTATCGAGCAGGAGGCGGGCTGGACTGTATTAATTGCCCGATGCTGTTGGGTTTGGCAGTACAGGAAGCAGTTTACATGGCTACACAGCGCCCTGGCTCGCAGTCGCTGCGACATGGTATTATTGTAGTGGGATAATTGTGATTAGGGACAGTTCCCCGAGGAAGGACAGGCCTTTGATGATTGAGTCACTTCCTCCCCACTCCACTTCAGCGCGATAGCGGGGCTCGACCCACAGACGCACGCACCCTTTGCTGGCCAGAGAATTCCGAGTTCCCCAGCTACGCTCCCCAGCAGGGGCACCATCAGACAGGACCACCGGAGATGTGGAAGCAGGCCAGAGCCCCCCTCCCCGCCGCATCATTTTGGGTAAGGATGACAAGCGACCGGGGTGGGGTGATCTCAGTGTGTCCCCAGCTATGGTGACCGCAAGAGCTCCTCTGGAGCTGGGCAGACCAGGCTCCCTCCATGTTTGCTGGCTCTGTGACTTAGGGAACTGGAGACTCAGTGACCCCGTTTGCGTGAGGATGGTCAGGGAATGATTTTTGTGAGGGTTAAATGGGATGGCTTTAAGGTCTGCAAGCACCTAGTAACTAGCCGCTGTTTATATTATTATTGCCATTGTGGATCGCTGCCTCCCCTCCCCCACCACCCCAGTCCAGAAAGCAAGAATCTACTGAGGGCTGCGAGGTCCAGTGGCTTTCACTTGGTGGAGAGGCAGTCGGATCAGGGGAGAAGGTTCCAGAGCCCAGTCTCGGCTCCCACCCTGTTTGACCATTCCCTAGGGCTGTTCCTTAGGCCAGAACTTCCCCGGGGACACAGAACCCATCTCTCTCACTCTGCACACCATGTGTGGTCTCCAAGTGGGTGCTGCCCTGGTCCACCCATTCTGCCCAGGGGTTTTTATGCCGCATAGCCCCTCATGCGCTGTCCTGAGTCACTTATCTCAGCCTCTGTCAGGCTTTGCAGAGAAAAACACCCCCGTGTGCACATGGGCGGGAACCGTGTTTGCCCAAACAATCGACTCCACCCCGTTCCGGGAGCCTCTGCGTGGGCCCTGCGGCTGCCTTCAGATGTGTCTGGGGGTGAGGACGGAGCCGCGGAGCTGGCCTGCCTCGTGCGCTGTCCTGCAGAGGCTGCAAGCAGGGCAGAGCAGTGGGCAGAGCCTGCGAGCCCTGGCGTCCCAGGTCCCAGGTTCGCACCTGCTCGGGCACTAGCTGTGTGCTCTTGGGAAAGGCACTTTGCCTCTCAGAGCCCCAGTTTCTTCACCTGGTAAGTGGGGCTAAAAATATCTCTCAGAGTGCTGTGGGCAGGATGAAATTAGACGGGTATGCAAAACACTTAGTAAAGTCACCCACTGAGGGTGACTCAATACATGGTAGCAAGGGGAGGGAGTCAGCCGGGAGTGAGAGCCCTGAGCTCCGCTGGCAGGGTCTCCGCTCTGCTGGGGGCAGGGAGATCTCCTGGGACCCGACTGCCTCAGGGGCTGCCTGCTAGGCCACCGTCCCCACACATTGGGACTATTCTGCAAGCTAAGGCCAGAGACCATGTGTGTTTTGTACACTGTGCAGCCAGCACCAGTGTATTAGTTACTTATGGCTGCTGTAACAAGTGGCCATGAACTTGGTGGCTACAACACACATTTATTATTTTACAGTTCTGAAGGTCAGAAGCCCTAAATGGGCCTCATGGGAGCTAAAACGATAGCAGAGGAGGGCCACACTCCTCTGGAGGCCCCACGAGGGCACCTGGAGGCTGCCTGAAATCTGTGCCTTGCAGCCCCCTTCCTCCTTCTTCAAAGTCAGTGGCTTAACATCTTCAGATTTAACTTTGACCCTTGCTTACAAGGACCCCTGTAGGGCCGGCGTCGTGGTATAGTAGGTTAAGCCGCTGCCTGCAGCTCTGGCATCCCAGATGGGTGCCAGTTCAAGATCTGGCTGCTCTACTTCCAATCCAGCTCCCTGCTAATATACCTGGGAAAGCAGCAGAAGATGGGCCATGTGCGTGGGCCCCTACAACCACATGGGAGACCCAAAAGAAGCTCCGGGCTCCTGGTTTTGCCCTGGCCCAGCGCCAGACTTTGTGGCCAATTGGGGAGTGAACCAGTGGATAGAAGATCTCTCTCTTTGTAACTCTGCCTTTCAAATAAATAAATAAAAATCTAAATAAATAAATAAATAAGGGCCGGCGGCACAGCTCACTTGGCTAATCCTCCGCCTGTGGTGCTGGCACCCTGGGTTCCAGTCCCGGTCGGGGCACCGGATTCTGTCCCGGTTGCTCGTCTTCCAGTCCAGCTCTCTGCTGTGGCCCGGGAGTGCAGTGGAGGATGGCCCAAGTGCTTGGGCCCTGCACCCGTATGGGAGACCAGGAGAAGCACCTGGCTCCTGGCTTTGGATTGGCGTAACACGCCAGCTGTAGCGGCCATTTGGGGGGTGAACCAAAGGAAGGAAGACCTTTCTCTCTGTCTCTCTCTCTCACTGTTTAACTCTGCCTGTCAAAATAAATAAATAAATAAATAAATAAGGACCACTGTAATAGACTGAGCCCATCCAGGCAATTTAGGGGACTCTCCCTATCTCAAGGCCAGCTGATTATCACCCAAATTGCATCTGTAAATTTCCTACCCCTTTGCTGTAGAGTACAGCATATCCACAGGTACTGGGATCAGGAGGCTTTCAAGAAGTCACTATTTTGCCTGCCCTACCTAGTGTGAAGGAAAGTGGATCAATGACAGAGAAAAACATGGACTAAGCACCTATTTTGGACTGAGCTTTTTGCAAAGAAGGCTGGAGGATTTTCAAAAAAATATTTACGGCTGGTGCCATGGCTCACTTGGCTAATCCTCCACCTGTGGCGCTGGCACCCCGGGTTCTAGTCCCAGTTGGGGTGCCGGGTACTAGTCCCAGTTGCCCCTCTTCCTGTCCAGCTCTCTGCTGTGGCCCGAGAAGGCAGTGGAGGATGGCCCAGGTGCTTGGGTCCTGCACCCGTATGGGAGACCAGGAGGAAGCACCTGGCTCCTGGCTTTGGATCGACGCAGTGCGCCGGCCATAGCAGCCATTTGGGGAATGAACCAAAGGAAGGAAGACCTTTTTCTCTGTCTCTCTCTCACTGTCTTTAACTCTCTCTCTGTCTCTCTCACTGTCTAACTCTGCCTGTCAAAAAATAAAAAAAATTATTTACTTATTTGAAAGGCAGAGTTACAGAGAAGGAGAGGCAGAGGCAGAGAGAGAGAGAGAGAGAAAAAGAGAGAGAGAGAGAGAGAAATATTCCATCAGCTGGTTCACTCCTCAAATGGCTGCAGTGGCTGGGACTGGGACATTGTTAGTCCAAAGTCAGAAGCCAGGAGCTTCACCCAGGTCTCCCACATGGGTGGAAGGGGCTCAAGGACCTGGACCATCTTCCACCATCTTCCCAGGCACATTAGCAGGGAGCTGGATGGGAAGTGGAGCAGCCAGGACTTGAACGGGCATCCCTATGGAATGCTGGCACTGCAGATGGTGGCTTAACCTGCTTTGCCACAGTGCCAACCCCAGGCCAGAGGCTCTTCCGTTTTCCCCCAGGCTGCAGGGTAGTCCCTTAGGAGGTTGCTCACGGGACACACAGGCCCTTAGGAGATGAAGAGTTCCAGGCAATGCTTCATCAACCAGAATATTTATTCAGCAAGTATTTTGAGTGTCAATGAGGTGCTGAGCACCAAGGAGGCGGGGATGAGTGAGCCTAGGAGGCTTAGGAAAGCACTGTGGAAAGGTAAAGGAGTCAGGGTTAGACGTGGGAGAAGGCTGTGGACTGGGTTTTGAGAAGTGGTATGCACAGTGCTTACAAGCACAGAATCTGGAGCCAGGACACCTGGGCTCAGTCTGGCTGTGCTGTGCACTGACTGTGTGAGCTTTGGCAAGTTTCCTAACTCCTCTGTACCCCAGTCATGTCCTTAGAAAGTACCAGTGAGGAAACAAGCAGGTAAGATGCCCGCATCCCACACTGGCCTTCCTGGGTTCACTTCCTGGCTCTGGCTCCGGCTTCCGGCTTCCTGCCGGTGCAGACCCTCAGAGGCAGCCGGTGATGGCCCAAGTAGTTGAGTCCCTGCCACTTGTATGGAAGACCTGGATTGAGTTCCATGCACCTGACTCCAGCCCAGCCCAGGCCATTGTGGGCAGTTAGGGAGTGACTCTGAATGGCCGTTCTCTCTACTTTCTGCCTCTCAAGTGCATTTTTTTTTAAAGTGGAAAAGCAAGTAGTCCCTATGTCCTAGAGTCGTTGGGAAAGTCTATGACTTAGTACAGGTAGCGTGTCCAGAGCAGTGAGGGTCACGTTAAGTGATGGCTACTAGCATTATCCCCCTCTTACCCTTTTCTCAGTCTTTGCTTCAACAAGGAGTGAGGGTATCCCAGCAGGCACTGGAAAGGAGACAGTCGCGACAACAAGGGGTTTCTGGGAGGAACGTTCAGTTAGGGGCGGGAATTTTTGCTTTCCAATCCCTCAAGGTGGGAAGAAATGGGCACTTTCGACTCTTCAGCTTTTGACAGTTTGTCTTCATGCAGATTTCCTCGTGGCCCCCTCGGACAGAGCCCAAGGGCGTGCAGCTCAGACCTGCCCCGCATAGACCTCACCTTGGAGTTGCTCTCCAAGGCCACTGGCTGCAGATGCTGGGGTAGTGGGGAGGGGGCCATGAGGATCGGGAGATCCCAGAGCTGCCCCCAGCTGGGGGAGGGCGGGGGGGGGTCCCAGACTCGCCAAGGAAAGGTCCCCTTTGGCCCCTGGAATCTTTCACCAAACAGATCTAGAGACATCGCTCTGGCTCCGGGGGTGACCTAAGTAAGTGCCCATTCTTCCTTCAACTCAGAGCTAATGGTTGACGAGGGAAAAAAATGCCTCTGTTATCGCAGAGCGCTGGAACTGGATTTGTTTAAAGCATTTTCTCCCTGGAGGTGCAGTAATTGCTCTCGGATCAGACAGGAAGTCCTATTGCTCGAAAGGAGCCGGTGTTATCAAGAGAAAACACATCAGCGCCTCTCTTCTCGGGAAGGGCTTCGTGAGTAATCAGCAAGGCTCCTCTCCAACTGGCCGCGGGCTTTGTTCCGATGCCACAGGTCAGGGAAAGTCTGAGCAGGCAGTGCTGTTAAAGGGGTATGTGGGCGGGGGGCTGGACATTCCAGGCCTTTCTCTTTATATTTGACTGGCTTTCTCCAGAGAAGGGCGCTGAGCCTGGGTTAATTGCCTCAAAGTTAACAAACAAACCCGATGACACCACTCTCCTACCCGAACCTCATTAAGGGCACCCCCATTGCCCTCAGGGTCAAGTCCAAGGCCTTACTCCAGTCTACAAGGCCAGGAGAAATTTCTGAGACTCACTGTCTCAGACAATATTGCAG